TGGCTGCAGCGAAGAGGGTATTGCGCTACCTGTGCAGTACGTCGGGCATGGGGCTAGTGCTTGGAGGGCGGAGTCCAGTGGTCCTTACCGGCCACGCGGATGCTTCTTGGGCTGACGACCAGGCTACGCAGCGGTCGTCACAGGGTTACACCTTCAGCCTTGGTTCCGGCTCTGTCTCGTGGCGGTCTACTCGCTCGTCTTCGGTTCTCGGCTCCAGTTGTGAGGCTGAGATCTACGCCGGGGCCATGGCTGCACAGGAGCTTCGCTGGCTCACCTACCTGCTGACTGACCTTGGAGAGCCGCCTCGTTCTCCTCCAGTGCTGTACGTAGACAACAAGGCCATGCTGGCCTTGTGTCGAGAGCAGCGCTTGGAGCACAGAACGAAGCACATTGCTCTCCGCTACTTTCTTGCTCGTGAGCTGCAGCAGCGTGGTCAGTTGCGACTTGCGTACGTGGCCTCTGAGGCCAACACTGCTGATGTGTTCACCAAGGCACTCGCGCCTTGTGACCACAGCGCTTTTGCACCCAGCTGGTCTTGTGCCTGTCTTGCCTCACTTGCTCTCCTCTTGACTTCACTTGTACTGTGACATATATATATACCTGCTCTTGCTTGTCTAGTTTTATATATATGTCTGTACTCCTGCATGTGAACTGGCCTCTGGCCCTGCTCTTGTGCTCGGACTGTGTGGTGACTTTGTGATCCACCCTGAGCTTGCTTTGCTTTGCTTGAATGGTCTTGTGACCCTTGTTCTCCCCCACTTTGCCTATGGGGTGTGTCAAACATTATATATGTTATGCTTGTGTAGGCTACAGTGGGTTAGCCTATAGGGGGTACACAATTTCTAGGGTTTCCTACTTGTACTCATTTTCACTGCTAGTTCATTCAATCCTGTTCGCTTATTCTCACAGAGTCCTATTACACTGAATCAGGGGCCATAAAACAATAAGTCTGAGGCACTCAGTGATGAAATTTGACTACTCTGGAAATACATTTTTCACAAAGTGGATGGTCTGATTCGTCAGACTAATCAGACTAAATAGTCTGATAGTGTCAGCCCCGCCGCGACGTAGTCATCGCAGGGTTGCGAAGCGTTTTGCAAACCTAAGTTGTAATTATTTTTGTACAACAAGGTGTAGTAGTGTAACACCGAAACTCAGGTCAAACTATTCAGTTCAGGCTTTGAAAAGCACATGGGGGAGATCGGACCCGGGAGCTTTCGAATCCTGACTCAGCGTCAATCAGCTGAGCTACAGCCGCCTGTAAGGACAAGAAAAATCAATTGATTCAAAACGTTACGCGCGAACAAATCGACACTACCTTAGGGTTTGTATTTTTTTCTTTTCCTCTCTCGCTTTCCTCTCGCTGCTGGAGCTCTTCTCAACGTACTCCCGCTAGTCACGCTGCATCTACCGTCATCGCCCGAATATAAGACATATATGTCTTAACTCGGTACACGGGCGAAAATGCTTGTGTTATCTTGTAAACGGGATGGTTTAGGGTGTCTTGTAAGTCTTATAAATGGAAACTTTTTAAACTACTTAGAATATATTCCATACTTCTTTACAAAGAGTTTCTCGTAATGCGTGTGGATTTGCGAATGTGCCACTTCGACAACCTCTGCCAGAGAGACGCCATGTTATGGAGAACACCTGCAGGGGCAAATTTGGTAGGTCCTGGGTCAGCGTGTGGAAGAATTCGCGCTTCGCAAGGGTAAAAAAGTACGCGGTACTTCAACTTTCGCTATAATTTATTGAAGTTTCGATAAGACATATATGTCTTATCTCATACACTCAAATAGGTGTCTTATAATGAGGCTAGTGAGAAGAAACGAGAATGATAGAACTATGAAAGAGTTGGGTACAAGTACTAACCCTAATTGGGTTGTACCCCATATGGGCTACCCCACTACAGCCTACACAAAAGCATAAGCTATAATGTTTTGACACACCCTCATAGGCAAAGTGGGGGAGAACAAGGGGTCACAAGACCAGTCAAGCAAAGCAAAGCAAAGCAAGCTTAGGGTGGATCACAAACGTCACCACACATTCCGAGCACAAGTTCAAGGCCACAAGGCCAATTCACATGCAGGAGTACATATATATATAAGGCTAGACAAGCAAGAGCAGGTATATATATATGTAACAGTACAACCAAGGTCAAGAGGTGAGCAAGTGAGGCAAGACAGGGACAAGACCCAGCTGAGTGCAGAAGCGCTGATGATCACAAGGCAAAAGTACCTTGGTGAAAACATCAGCAGTGTTGGCCTCAGAGGCCACATACGCAAGCCGTAACTGTCCACACTGCTGTAGCTCACGAGCAAGGAATAGCGGAGAGCAATTTGCTTTGTTCTGTGCTCCAGTTGCTGCTCTCGACACAAGGCCAGCATGGCCTTGTTGTCTACGTACAGCACTGGAGGAGAACGAGGCGTCTCTCCGAGGTCAGTCAGCAGGTAGGTGAGCCAGCGAAGCTCCTGTGCAGCCATGGCCCCTGCGTAGATCTCAGCCTCACAACTGGAGCCGAGAACAGAAGACGAAACAGAGCCGGAACCAAGGCTGAAGGTGTAACCCTGTGAGGACCGCTGCGTAGCCTGGTCGTCAGCCCAAGAAGCGTCTGCGTGCTAGTGAGGACCACTGGACTGCGCCCTCCAAGCACTAGCCCCATGCCCGACGTACTGCACAAGTAGCGCAACACCCTCTTCGCTGCAGCCATGTGCTCTGGTCGGTGTCTCCCAGGAGCAACATAGCGTGCGAGAATGCTAAGAGGGTATGCAAGGTCAGGTCGTGTGCAGGTCATCAAGTACATGAGGCAGCCAACAAGCTCTGGATACGGGCCACTCGACTCTACGGACTCATCCGAAGGCAGAGCTGAGAGCGAGTGGCGGGTAGGCAGAGGAGTGGCCTGAGGCGAGGAGTACGTGAAGCCGAAGCGCTGAAGGACCTGCTTGCACCATGTGTGACTGAGTCAGGGTAATGGTGCGGCGTGCTCTGTCCCGGGTGATCTGCAAGCCAAGGTAGCTGCGCAGTTCACCCAGGTCAGTGCACGTGTGTCTGTTCTGCAGCTCGAACTTCACGTAGGCGAGTCCAGCAGTGTCAGCTGTGGCAAAGACCAAGTCGTCGACGTACACGAGGATGTAGAACGGTGGCAGAGAGGTGCCGGTGCGCAGAAACAGCGACGCGTCGGCAGTAGAAGGAGCAAACCCAAGAGCCGCCAGTGTAGTCCTCAGTGTGTCGTGCCACTCACGTGGCGCCTGGCGAAGACCGTAGACTGGACGCCGGAGACTCCACTGGGTACCACGAGGGAAAGACCCAGTGAAGCTAGGTGGGCGGCGCAGTCAGACTCCTCGTGCAGGATGCCCTGCAAGAAAGCAGTGCTGAAGTCGAGAGAGTGCAGCTCGTAGTCACGGTGAGCAGCAACGTGCAGCACAGTACCAAGAGTGGTCATCTTCGGGGTGGGAGAGAAGGTCTGAAAGTAGTCAACTCCCTGCCGCTGACTGAAGCCACGAGCCACGTAACGTGCCTTGAAGACAGGCGGAGAACCCGGGCCGCTTCACCCTGAAGATCCACATGCCACTGACGATGTTCGCCCCAGGCGGGGGAACCTCGTCAACGTAGGTGCCTGTGGACTTCCAGGAAGCCATCTCTGTGTCCATAGCTGCCTGCCACTGAGAGGAGTAGGGACCCTCTATCGCCTCCGCGTAAGAGCGCGAAGTCGGGATGTCAAGTGCAACCGGTCTCCCTCAGGGGTAAGCAGTACGGACACGAGATGAGGTGAAGCAGCTGCCAGACACTGAACTCCTCCTATCTGTCCTCGAGGACGTCCGTGCCAAGGGCGCACTCACCCCCGACAGACGGAGGACCGACAGACTCGGACTCAGCGACAAGAACTAGCAGTGTAGTCTAGGCGACAGCGAGCAGCAAATTCGACGAGCTCAGCAACTAGGGAAGACGCAGCAGTGGACTCGTAAGAAGGGTCAGTGAGGACAGTAGCCAAGAGACGCGTGACAGTAGGACTGGCAGCACGAAGAGAGTCTGACTCCGGGTCGGCAAGAGCAGGAAGAGAGGACTCAGGAGGAGAAGGCAAAGGGCACGCAGAGGAGCAGTGGACGGACGCAGAGACATCCTGTGCGTGCCAGGGACAGAAGGAGAACGCTGACGCAAACCACGACCACTAGCGCGTCCAGCACGGACAGGCGACGCAGGGCGAGACGCAGGCTCACGACGCTCAGCACAAAGACCTCCAGTAGGACCAGAGTAGGGAGAAGGAGCAGGCAAAGGGGAGGTAGGCTGCAATTGTAACTGTGACTGGACAGGCTGTGGGACACTCTAACGAAGGAGGAGGACCTGTAGAAGGCGGAAAACCTAGAACCTGCTTCAGGAGTGGAACAAAGTACGGTCGAGGCCGCGCGGTGACGCCAGACAGAGCAGGGACAGCACCAGTTCCCTCAGCAGGAAGCACCCGCTCCAGCTGCACCTCCAGCAGCTCCAGAACCTCCAGCAGCACCAGGAGTACCCGCAGTAGGACGCGCAATAGTAGTCTCAGCGCCAACACCCTCAGCAGCACCAGCTCCAGTCGAACCCGCAGACCCAGCAGCTCCAGTACTCCCAGTACGAGCACCTCTGGGACCCGCGACAGCAGCACCCTCAGTAGCCGAAGAACCTCTAGTACCAGCAGCACGCCTCCCACTCAGCGTCGGGCAAACCACTCGCGCAGCTTCTATGGAGAGAGTGGCTCCTGTAGAGACGAAGCCCCTGGAGAACCTCCAGGCGGGAGCACCTCCAAGCTCAGCACCCCCAGGCTCAGTACCACCAGATGTAGCACCCCAGGCAAAGCACTCCCAGGCTCAGCACCCCAGGCTCAGCACCCCCAGGCTCAGCATCCCCAGGCCCAGCACCCCCAGGCTCAGCACCCTCAGCAGCACCAGAGTCACCAGTGACCTCGCAAGCTCGACTGCGTCTACGTGGGACACACTGAAGGGGACAGACTTTGAGGGGGGAGGGGTCTACACGGAGGGGGATCTGGAACAAGGAAGGAGCGGCGGCAGGGGGAGGGACGGAGTGCGGTAGGGGAAGAGGCGGTAGTAGGGGACCGACTCGTCAAACGTGACGTCCTGGAGGACGAACAGAACACGGCGAGAGGTGGGATGGTAGAATTGCCACTCAGGCGCGTCGGGGGGGAACCCCAGGAAGACGCAAGGAGCAGCAGCACGAGGGGACAGCTTGTCCGCAGACAAGTCGCGGACAAACGCCCGAGATCCCCAGACCCGGAACGCCGACGGCATCGCCAACCTTTCCTGTCCACAGCAGGGCTGGGGAGGTCTCCGGCCTGGAGACCCTGGGGTGTAGGTGATCTGATGCGCCGCGTACCTCACCGCAATTCGGCCACAGAAAATGGGGAGCAGCCGCATGCATCGTAGACGTACGAGCGACGTCCATGACCATGCCAATGCGGCGCTCAGCGATCCCATTTTGCTGCGGAGAGTCCGGAAGCGTGAAGGTCTGACGGATGCCTCGTGCGCGGCAGTAGGCTCTCAAAAGGCCAGAGGAAACTCTCTCGGCGCTCTCTCCGCCTCTGTCCGAGTGCAGATACAGAACAGGAAAGTCCGAGCCAAAGCTCTGCCTGAGCTGGAGACGAGCTGCGCGGATCCAGTCGAGCAGCACCTCAGTGACATCACCCTTGCTGCGCAAGGGAAGACTGCGGTGTAACGCGAGTAGTCGTCAACAAACGAGCAGGAAGTAGCGCTCGTGACCCTTTCCACGGACGCGGGCTGGGCCCCACACGTCCATTCGAAGCGTCTGCAACGGGGCCTCTGTCGGAGGAAAACTGGGAGGAGTGAGGGGCAGCCCGCTGGCGCCCCTCGACACAGGGGACACAGGTAGGGCCAGGGCCCTGAGGAGGGGGAGGGAGGGACCGGGGTAGACCAGAAACAAGAAGACGGGAGGCCATGCCTCTGAGCTGAAGCAGAAAGGGGTGACCAAGGCGGTGGTGCCAGAGGAGAGTCTCGTGAGACAGGAACGACACGAACAGGGGGGCAGACTCAGGACCAGACCTGGACGCTGCAGCAAACACCTTACCCGACGCAGCTACCCTACCAGACTCAGCAACAGGAGGAGACGCAGTGGTCAGTGTGTACAGGCTCGACCCCGGCTGACGAGTAAACATAGCCAGGTGTTGCCTGTGCTGGCCTCTGTGCAGTGCGTCACCCGCTGACGCGCAGGAGTGAACTGGTGGACTCCCCCATCCTGTAGGTCAGCACCACTCACCAGTTCGTAGAGAACGAGGGGAGGTAAAGACCAGACAGGGTGCCAGAGGGAGCCGCAGGACACGGGAGGACTGTGGAGAAGTGAGACAGGACAGGACCCCCAGAGGGTCAGCCAGAGACACCGCAACCGGCCGACTAAGCGGCGTGAGTGTGGTGCGGTCCAGAAAGAAGGAGCATGAAGCCCCAGAGTCAAGGGTGAAGGTGAGGGAGGCCGAAGCCGACGTAGTACCTGAGAGCGCAGACTCACCAGTACCTGAGGACGCAGACACACTAGCACCTAGAGCAGCAGTGTCGCAAGCACCTAGGGCAGCCGCCTCACCAGTACCTACCTAGAGCAGCAGTCTCAATGCCCGGATCGGGGGGGAAACACCGGTAACAGTCACCCTCATCACTAATAGACACAGCATACATGGCAGAAAGAATAGCATCAAAATCAAGATCATAAATGGCAACACCCGTCCTAGACACCTCGCCCCAGCGAGGGATCTCTGTGGCCTCTGGGAACTGGTGATGCCACGCGTTCGTCAGGCGGCCAAAGCAGCGTGGGTGGGGTGCGCACCCCCCACACTGCTCACCCGCACGGTCGCCGGTGCGCAGGACGTAGGTGCTCGGACCAAAATCCCCACCCCGCTGGCGTGCAGTGTACCACTCACGGAGCTGCTGAGGGGACAGGGTCTCACGATCCGCGCTGCTGCTGCTGGCTGCGGACCACCACCGGAGCCACTCCTCTGCGTAGACCCGCGGACCAGCTCCACCGCCACCCCCCGCCGCCTCCGCCGCCTCCGTTACTACCGCCGCCTCCACTGCCGCCACCTCCGCCACCTCCGCTCCCACCGCCACCGCCGCCGCCGCCGCCGCCTCCTCCTCCACTGCCGCCACCGACACCTCCACCCCCACCTCCACTCCCACCGCCACCCCCACTCCCCCCGCCGCCTCCACCTCCACCTCCACCGCCCCCGCTCGCTCCTCCAGTGCCCCTGCTCCCCTTGCCCTTGCCTGGGCGGCGTCTCCCGCTAGGGCAGACGCCGCACCGACCGACTCAAGAGCAAGGAGGTTGGCCGCAGCAGCAGAGGCAACAGAGGGCAGAAGGGGGGAGGGGGAACACCCCTCAAAGATGGGGGTGCGCGGGTCACCATGAGAGGCCCCTACAGCGACTATGCTCTTCTTGGCCGCTAGGAGGACTTCTCGAGGAGGTCAACAGTGAGAGTGGTGGGACAGACTGAGAGGAAGTGGTCCCTGACTGCTCGAAGGGAGTCAGGGAGGCGAGTGACTATGTAGTAGAGAGTGATGTACATGGGGGGGGGGGTTCTTGGCGCAGAAGTCAGCAGGAAGCGCAGCGCGGTAGCGAGTGTCACTAGTGCGGAGGTGCGTAATGAGGTCAGCGACTGTGGGAAAGGCAGCAAGGTCGGGGAAGAGGTACGGTAGCAATGAGACGGCTCAGTGCAGCAGTGGCATGGGGAGGAGTAGCGCGCAACTACAGCGTCGTACAAGGTCTGAGCACTCTTGTACTGACTAAAGTGCGCACGCTCGGATGTAGGGAGGTGGCGGCGTACCGCAAGACGTGCAGTAAGCATCGCGCGTGGCCCACTGGGAGCGAACAGTGGCTGTCGGCATCAGCCAGGGGCAGGAGAGGCGCCAGAGGTGAGATCAAAGATTGAGAGGACCGTCCGCCCTATCGCACTGTAAAAACAGCTTGCAGGTCATCTACCCAAACGTCAAAGTCAATGGCTCTACCCTCAGCGTCAAAAGCGAGGACACTAGGGGTAGCCAATACCACAGTAGACTAGGAGTGCAACAGTAGGATGAGGGCAGTGCAATGAAAGAGGCACTGTGCTCACCGGACGGGGCTGCTCGGACGGCTCGGAGGTAGGGGCGGCTCGGCGGCTCTCGGCTGCACGGCGGCTCGGCTGCAGGGCGGCTCGGCTGCTCGGTTGCTGGGCGGCTCGGCTGCAGGGCGGCTCGGCTGCTCGGGCTGCTGGGCGGCTCGGCTACTTGGCTGCTCAGCTGCTGGGCGACTTGTCGTGCTGCTGCAGGGCGGCGCGGCAATCGGCTGCTCGGCGAGGTGAGGCGGCCCGGGCGGCTCAGGTGGCGGGGCGGCGCTGCAGCAGGTGACAGGGCCGCAGGGAAGGCGGCTGGGCCGCAGGTAAGGGCGGCGAGGCCGTAGTTGAGGGTGGCGAGGCCGCAGGTAAGGGCGGCGAGGCCGCAGAGGAGGGCGGCGAGGCCGTAGGTGAGGGCGGCGGGGACCGCAGGGAAGGGCGGCGGGGACCGCAGGTGAGGGCGGTGGGGCCGCAGGTAAGGGCGGCGAGGCCGCAAGGGCGGCGCGCGGGGTCGACGGGTGGCGTAAGGCGCCACTAGGGCGGCGCGGCGGGGTCGACGGGGCGGCGCAGGGGGGGGGCGCTAGGGCGGCGGGCGGGGTCGACGGGCGGCGCAGGGGGCCGCTAGGGCGGCGCGCGGGGTTCGACGGGCGGCGCAAGGAGCCGCTAAGGCGGCGCGCCGGGGGTCGACGGGTGGCGCAAGGAGGGGCCGCTAAAGCGGCGCGTGGGGTCGACGGGCAGCGCGAGAGGCCACAAAGGGCGGCGCGATGGTAGGGAGGGCACACGGGGCCTCTGCGCGACTCGGTCTAGTCTGAGGCGCGCTCCGGGCAGGAAAAAAAATCGTGGTGGGCCCTAGGTAGCGTTCCCACAAGGGAACCTGTTGTGAAACCATGAGAAGAAACGAGAATGATTGAACTATGAAAGAGTTGGGTACAAGTACTAACCCTAATTGGGTTTGTACCCCATATGGGCTACCCCACTACAGCCTACACAAAAGCATAAGCTATAATGTTCTGACAGCTAGCCTGTTTATAAGAGACACCCGTATAGTAGACAACCCAGTCTACTATTCAACACTGTCTTATATCCGGGTGATGACGGTACCTACCACTAACATGTCAGAACCCAAGGCTATTAAGGAAAACTAAGATAGTAGTTACAAGCTAGTCTAACCGTAATCGCGTATTCTAGTCGTAATCGCGTCCTTATGTTCTAAGCTCTTACTAAAGTTTTAAGCATTTCTGTCATCTTTAGGCTAAACTAAGCTAGAGCATGTGATTGTCTTTTAGTTGTCAACGACCCATGATATAGTTCGATAGATCTTGCTCTTATGGCGTATTTAGAAGCCTAAGCACGTCAAATGTAAATTTTCCTCCTAGAAATTGCTTCATATGGGTCTTATTATTGGATGCTATTCTTGTACTTTCTGATCTGGCTACTAGTTTTATGCTGTACTTGTCCCTGTCATTCATTTCTTCCTTCGTTCCTTTCTTCGTATGTACCTACTCCTTTTTTCTCTTCCAATCTTTATCGTCGTATATCATCCGTCATGTAACCTATATGTCTGTTTGGTTCCGTTCTCTGTAAGTTCCTTTCCTTCACAGCTTCTTTTTCTCCCAATCCGTTTTTGTACTCCCTTAGTCTTGCATATTTCGCTTTCATTCCGTTCTGTCTGTTTTGGATGCATCTTTTAGTATAGTGTCCGTTCTTGCATAGCATGTTAAACAACATGTTTCGGTATGTCTCATATTGTGACACGACTTTCAGAGGAGTGTGCAGTGCAGTCGTCATAGCATTTCACATCTCAAGTATCCAGCACACTCGATAATATGGAATACATATGGTGTTCTAAACGGGAACAAGATACGCACAAGCGATCCATTGTACAAGGGAGAGGAGGGTGGGAACTAGAGAAGTGAAAACTGCAAATGAGACTAGGTGGTAGGTCCCGAGGACCTGCTGAAAGGTAAAGGAGAATGTCTCCTTTACAGCAAACCCCTCTTCAAGTCGAACCACAATCTGTAATTTTTTTTGTTACAAAAAACTTATCATATTGTGACACGACTTTCAGAGGAGTGTGCAGTGAAGTCGTCATAGGTCGAACGAGACATCAAGGGAGAGGTCGGCGGTGACCCCTCTCGAATGTGGTCAAGTACCGATCGGCCGGGCTAGATCGGAGAGGGTCCTGTAGTACGCGAGAGCATTGACAAGCTCGCGATCGAGCTGTGTAATATATAGCTCCTTAGCCCTATCACTACGCCACCGACCAAGGGCTTTGAAGAGTCTGTCCAGCACTCCGACGTCGACAGCTACAGTTGCCGCCGATTTACGGAAGGAATGAGTGCCGAGGAGATCCGGGTTAAGGCCGACGCGGGCAAAGCCATCGCGGCACCAGCCCCGCACGGTAGCATACGAAGGGGAACGGTCGGAAGGGGAAGCCCCGGCACCCGGTTGGAACACGCGGATAAGAGGGCCGGTAGAATCTTGAGAGTAGCCCGCGAGGAAAAGAAACTGCTGGACACGAGAGACAGGGCCAGTGGCGGGCAGAGGATGCTGCCACTGGGACCCAAGCACCTCTCCTGGCTTGGTCCGTCTTGGAGCGAGGAATAAATAGCCACATGCAGTCCCTGTCAAACTCAATCTGATGCCACTGGAGGGAAATCAGGTCAGAGAAGCGTAAGAAGGCCGAAAACATGAGAAGAGGGATCAGCCCCCGCTGGAATGTGGCCGGGTCGGATGACGAAAAATATATGTCGCAGATATCGTAGATTTTTTCTGGTGGTACAGGCTCTTTAGCCTTAGATGGTCGTCCGCAATGACGCTGTGCATACTCTTTCACTTGGCTTTAGAGTGGCCCGCGAACAGGAGACGGTTTGTGAAACTTTAGAAGAGAGAAGAGGGTTGAACTAGCAAGAATGGGGATTCAAATAGCAAACCCTAGAAGGGTTGTACTCGCTATAGAGCACCCACTACAGGCTAGAGCATAACATTCTGACACACCCCCATAGCCAAAGTGGGGTGTAATCAGCAGAGCAAGCAAAGCAGAACAAGCTCAGGGTGGATCACAATGACACCACACATTCTGAACACAAGTTCAAGAAGCAACAGTTTAAAGTTCATAAGTGTAAGCAAAGCTAGAGGCTATAGCAGAGGGCAAGTGAGGAGGAGGAGGCGAGACTGGTAAGAGGAGAGGAGATAGGAGGCGACGACTGAAGCTGCAGACACACGGGCAACAGGAGGCACACTGGCACAGCGGCTACCGGAACAACGCTCCGGACTACTGGAGTAACTGGTCCCGCGGCTAAAAGTAGCGGCAGACAAGCAACGGACCCACGGGCGGCTGGCACAGCTGGCTACGACTGGGCTACCGGACGAAGTCCCCGGAATACAGGTGCTGCTGGCGACACGACGGCAACCTCCATTCAACTTCCCCAGACTATCCCACCCCCCCTGACACACACCCCCTACTGCACCCCTCGGGTCACTCACACCCCACCCCCTAGCACGACTCCGTCGACTCCCCACACACCCACCCCCCTCAGCGGCAACTGCAGCAGTGGGAGACAGAGGAGGAGGAGGAGCAGGGGAGACCACACACCCGCCACCCCCCACTCGCCACCCCCAAAGCCTAAAATAGGGCAGGGCAGGATGGCGGTAGGGAGGTTACGGGGGGAGAGGGGGGGACCGATACGCGGCCTCCCAGGGCGCCACAACAGGTGGCAGAAGGGGCGGCGCCCGCCCCCCTCCCCCGAGGGTCACCTCGACGGACGACGGGAAATGGCCGGGGCGGGGCCGGGGCCGTGCAAGGGCGGCGACGGGGTGTCGCTGCGGGCGGCGACGGGTCCGCTGCGCGCGGCGACGGCGCGGCCGATGCGGGCGGGGACGGGGTCGCTGCGGGCGGCGACGGGGCCGCTGCGCGCGGTGACGGGGTCGCTGCGGGCGGCAACGGGCCCGCTGCGGGTGGCGACGGGTGAGAAGAATAGAACGAGAATGAATCAACTATGAATGGAGTGAGTACATATAGGAAACCTTGATTGGGTTGTACCCCCTATGGGATACCCCACTATAGCCTACACAAATATATATAAGCTATAATGTTCTGACACACCCCCATAGGCAAAGTGGGGGAGAACAAGGGGTCACAAGACCAGTCAAGCAAAGCAAAGCAAATCTCAGGGTGGATCACAAGTCACCACACATTCCGAGCACAAGTTCAAAGGCCAAAAAGGCCAGTTCACATGCAAGATCACAAAAATATATACAAGAGGCTAAGCAAGGAAGAGCAAGAGTATATATATGTGACAGTACAAGCAAGGTCAAGAAGTGAGCAAGTGAGGCAAGACAGGCACAAGACCCAGCTCAGTGCAGAAGCGCTGATGATCACAAGGCGCAAGTGCCTTGGTGAAGACATCAGTAGTGTTGGCCTCAGAGGCCACGTACGCAAGCCGCAACTGTCCACGCTGCTGTAGCTCACGCGCAAGAAATGTGCTTTGTCCTGTGCTCCAATCGCTGCTCTCGACACAAGGCCAGCATAGCCTTGTTGTCTACGTACAGGACTGGAGGAGAACGAGGCGGCTCTCCAAGGTCGGTCAGCAGGTAGGTGAGCCAGCGAAGCTCCTGGGCAGCCATAGCCCCGGCGTAGATCTCAGCCTCACAACTGGAGCCAAGAACAGAAGACGAGCGGGTAGCCCGCCACGAAACAAAGCCGGAACCAAGACTGAAGGTGTAACCCTGTGACGACCGCTGCGTAGCCTGGTCGTCAGCCCAAGAAGCGTCCGCGTGCCCAGTGAGGACCACTGG